CTAGTGAGGGGCGCGCGAGGGCGCTAGCAAGGGGCGCGCGAGGGCGCTAACGAAGGGGCGCGCGAGGGCGCTAACGAAGGGGCGCGCGAGGGCGCTAACGAGGGTGCGCGCGAGGGCGCTAACGAGGGGCGCGCGAGGGCGCTAACGAGGGCGCACGAGGGCGCTACGAGGCTAGGGCACGGGGTAGCGTGGTAACCGCATGCGAGCGGTGGTGGGCCCTTAAAAAACGGTCGGTAGGTCCTAGGGACCTCCTGCTCTGAATACCATGTCAGAATCACTAGGCAAGAATGAATGAACTAGCAGAAGATTGGGTACAAATATGAAACCCTAGTTGGGGTTGTACCCCATATTGGCTACCCCACTACAGCCTACAAGCATAATACAGTTTAACACTGTGCACCCGTGGAAGAGTGGGGGGGGCACAGCACCAGAGGCAGCGGCTACCGAGCGAAGGTTGCTCTCGACGTCCTTGAGTGCAGACTCAAGGACATCGACGGTGAGCTCACTAGGGTGCTTCAGCAGAAGCGCGTCGCGAACGGAGGCAAGGCGGTCAGGGAGGCTAGTGGCGATGAAATAGATAGTAATCGCCATAGGGGGAGGAAGCAGTGCAAGCTGTGCCTCAGTGCAAGCAGCGCGGTAACTAGCGTCGAGCGAGCGGAGGTGAGCGATCAAGTCAGCAGAGCGCTCAAAAGACGCTAGGTCAGGAAACAGGAACGGGAGGAACAGGCGGCCAAGAGAGACAGCAGCGGGAGTAGAGTAGCGGGCCTTAATCGCAGTGAGGTACTCAGCAGCGGTGCGAACCTGAGTGAAGTGAACCTCCTCAGACTCAGGGAGGAGGCTGCTGAGCGCGATGCAGGCCGCAGCGTCACGTGACGTCCAAGCCGTCTGGTCAGCTCGCTGAGTGGCAAAGCGGGCTCTAGCGGCGTCGTCAGGGGCAGGTCCTAAAGGCGTAGGGTCGGGGGGCGCAGGTAGGGCACCAGTAGCGTGCGCCCAGAGGGTCTCGCCTGCCTGGACCTGACTCTCTAACAGACGGCGAGCACGAAGAAGCCAGACGGAAAAATCAAGAGGTCTACCGTCAGCGTCGAAACGAAGGACACGCTGAGTCGCCATAGTGAAAACGAACGCGAACGGAGAGGGAGGGGACAGCAGTAGGTGAGAGGCAAATTAGGGTTCGGCGGTACTCTGGGACAGGGGAGGAGCGGACGCCACAGCGGGCGTGACAGCGGGAGGTAACAGGGGACTAAGCAGCGGGGAACGGGAACGGGCGCAGCGGCGGGCGATGGCAGCGCGCTCGGCAGCAGGGGCCAGCAGCGCGCGCAGCGGGCGACGGCAGGGGGCGCAGCGGCGACGCGCGCAGCGGCGGGCGAGGAGCGTGACGGGGAGAAAGGGACGCAACGGGGGGAAAGGGCGGCGGGACGCGACGGGGGGAAAGGGACGCGACGAGGGGGGAAAGGGCGGGGAGGACGCGACGGGGGGAAAGGGACGCGACGAGGGGGAAAGGGCGGGCAGGACGCGACGGGGGGAAAGGGACGCGACGAGGGGGAAAGGGCGGGCAGGACGCGACGGGGGGAACGGGTGCGACGCGACGGGGGGGAACGGGCGCGACGCGACGGGGGGAAAAGGCGCGACGCGACGGGGGGAATGGGCGGCGACGCGACGGGGGGAACGGGCGCGACACGACGTGGGGGGGGAACGCGACGCGACGGGGGGTAAGGGCGGGCGCTACGGAACGAGGGGAACGGGTGGCGCGGACGGGCGCTAGGATTGGCGCTAGGCTCGGCACTACGCGCGGTAACAACGGAACCGGGACGAATGAGAGCTAGGATCAGGCTCGGGAGGCTCGAACGGAGAACGGAGGAACGGGATCCCACAGGATCCTAACCTAACTGATATCATGTCTAAATGAAGAATGGATGATGCATTGATGTTGGTTGGGGTACATATAGCTAACCCTAAGTTTTGTACCCCCTAAGACAAACCTCACTATAGGCTACAACATTTGACATCTAGGGCAGCAGGAGGCAGCGCTAGGGCTGCTGGACGGCGCACATAGTGCAGCACGGCACAAGGCAAGGCAAGGCAGGCAGGTACGTGGGGTAGCGCGGTAACCGCAGCGGTAGGTGGGCCCGAAAAAAAAAACGGTCCTACGGACCTTAGTGCTCTGAAACCATGTCAGAATCTAGCAGCAGGAATGGATGAACTAGCAGCATGCAGGAGTACAAGTAGTAAACCCTAATTGGGCTGTACCCCATATGGGCTACCCCACTACAGCCTAGAAAATATGCAGCATATATGTTTGACAATCGCATGCCATCCAGATGGGGTTTATTTTTTTCTGACCGCGGGAAGATAAGGACCCCTCAGCTTCTTCCACTGGGGATCGCATTTGCGAACCGCGCTGGCTAAATTGGATTGCAGCTGAAGTTGTCCCGGCAGAGATTGACCGATTCCGCATTCGCGCATCATGGACATACCAGCTTTCTTTTGCTTCACTGGGTACCACAGCTCAGATATATTTACAGGTTTCTTTCATCAGAGTATTATGCGGTTTGACTTGTTCATTACGTTGCTCCAAGCCATTAGCCCAAACTAGGGCGTATGTTGTATCAAGTTTAAGAATGACAAATCCCAAGATTAGTTTCACTTGTAATCATGGTGTCAGATAGATCTTTGCTTGAACGAACACCGTTTCTCATAAGATTCTGCATTAAGCAAAGCTTACAAGTTACAACCTCACACCGAAACCTGCTTGTCAGGCTTCTTACTAAGCAACCAAGAAAAGCAAACCCATCCAGGAAGGAAACTACTGACACTGAGGCTCTCGCCCACGTGAAGTCGGAGCTGCAGAAGAGACACACGTGCACAGACTTGGGTGAGCTGCGCAGCTACCTTGGCTTGCAGATCACCCGGGACAGAGCACGCCGCACCATCACCTTGACTCAGTCACACATGGTGCAGCAGGTCCTTCAGCGCTTCGGCTTCACCTGGTCTTCAGCACAGGCCACTCCTCTGGCTACAGGTCACACGCTCTCAGCTCCACCTTCGGACGAGTCCGTAGAGCCGAGTGGTCCTTATCCAGAGCTAGTCGGCTGCCTCATGTACCTGATGACTTGCACTCGACCTGACCTCGCGTACCCTCTTGGTCTTCTGGCTCGCTACGTGGCTCCTGGTCGGCACCGACCTGAGCACATGGCTGCTGCTAAGAGGGTACTGCGCTACTTGTGCAGCACATCAGGCATGGGGCTAGTGCTTGGAGGGACGAGCCCAGTTGTCCTCACTGGGCACTCAGACGCTTCTTGGGTTGACGACCAGGCTACTCAGCGGTCGTCACAGGGTTACACCTTCAGCCTTGGCTCTGGTTCAGTTTCGTGGCGTTCTACACGCTCGTCTTCAGTTCTCAGCTCCAGTTGTGAGGCTGAGATCTACGCCACAGCCATGGCTGCACAGGAGTTACGCTGGCTCACCTACCTGCTGACTGACTTGGGAGAGCAGCCTCGTTCTCCTCCAGTGCTGTACGTCGACAACAAGGCCGCCATTGCCTTGTGTGAGGAGCACAGACTGGAGCACAGAACGAAGCACATTGCTCTGCGTTACTTCCTGGCTCGAGAGTTGCAGCAGCGAGGCCAGCTTCGTCTTCGTCACGTGGCCACTCGGGCCAACACTGCTGATATATTCACCAAGGCACTTCCGTCTGGTGATCATCAGCGCTTTTGTACCCTGTTAGGCCTTGTGCCTACGTTTCCACACTTGCTGTAGTCTCTGCTTGTACTGTGATCTATATATATACATGCATGCCTGCTCTTGCTAGGTAGTCATCACTGTACTGTTATTGTTGTATATATATCTCTGCATGTGGACTGGCCTTGTGGCCCTTTGCTTGTGCTCAGAATGTGTGGTGACGTTGAGATCCACCCTGAGCTTGCTTTGCTTCTCTTGACTGGTCGTTTGACCCCCTGTTCTCCCCCACTTTGCCTATGGGGGTGTGTCAAACATATATGCTGCATATTTTCTAGGCTGTAGTGGGGTAGCCCATATGGGGTACAGCCCAATTAGGGTTTACTACTTGTACTCCTGCATGCTGCTAGTTCATCCATTCCTGCTGCTAGATTCTGACAGCGATTAGGGGAGCCCCAACCCTAAACACGGGGAGCCCCAACCCTAAACACGGGCAGCCGCATGGTTCTGCCCGAAAAAGATTGCATTTGCAAACACGCACTGGGAAAATTGGATCGCAGTTCGAATTGACCGATCTCTGCCGGACTCTGAAGACACAGTCTAAACTACCGTGTGGTCACCGCCTTTTTACAGGTCTTTACTGATGTGATTACATCGACAGACCTAACTGGGTCTCCGCTCCTCTGTCTCTCTGCAGCTACCGTTTCCTGGACGATGTGTCAGAGAATAGGTTTGACTGTTGGAAAGAAAACCTCGTCAGGTTCAGGAAAAGAAACAAGATCATTTGGCGCAGGGGATTTGCGCGACATTGGGCAAACCTTCTTTTACGGACCTTCCACCCTGTCGTTACGTTATTGAAGCGTTTGGTGGAACAAACGAGACGCTACCAGCTCATTTACTCTCTCCGCATCTACCAGCTTTTTCCTCACAGAAGTTAGCAATTTCTCCTTCATCTCCCTACCTCCTCCCTACGGAAGTGTAGGGCTGACAACATTCCTTCCACCCACGGAAGTTTATCAGTCTTTCTGTCCCCGCGTTCACCTCTGTGAAGTGATAGCGCGAAGTGTTCCATCAGATAGCAACAAACCAATTTAAAATTTAAGAAAGAACGTGGAGCGGAGGATTATGAGAAATATGCTGTACTATATAGGTTTGGCCTTTACAACAGAAACCTGCTTGTCAGGCTTCTCGCTAGGCAGACGAGGCACAAAAAGCACCATTCACTGAGACACCTACTTCTATACGTGCCGACCTTATTAGGTACATATTAGCGTATGACACACGGAGCTCTGAAGAGTTGAGAGGGGGGGAAGCTGTGGCGCGGCTTAGGGGGCGGCGACGTTGGCGAGGGCCTTGGGCGCGATTTCGACGCCGTCGGCCTGGCCGGGCGAGGAGTTTTCGACCTGCAGCGAGAGGAGCGTCTCCTCCCACTCCTTGGCGGGGCCCTTCCACGACAGGTCCTGCGCCATGCCGTTGAGAATCATCTGGTCGAACGCCGGCGTGCCGAACACCTTGAGCGCGCGCTGCACTCCCGCCGTCAGCGTCGCCACGTCCTCCGGATACACCGCCTCGCACTGCGGCGCGCGCGCATGGGAGGGGACGGGGGGAAAAACGGAACAAGGTGATCGTTAGTCCAAGATGCAATAATGGCAAGCAAGCAGTAGAATTGGAGACTGGAGAGAGGATTTTAGCGAGGGATAAGGCACGGAAGAAGAGGAAAGCGAGGAATAGATAGATGGGAGTAGAAGGCAAGGCCAGAGCGGCGAGGGAGGGCGACTCACGTCGACGTTGAACTCGCCGATCTGGAAGCCCGTGACGCCGTCCTTCACGGTGTCCACGAGCCCGCCCGTGGACGCCACGATGGGCACCGTGCCGTAGCGCATGGCGTGCAGCTGGATCAGCCCGCACGGCTCGAAGCGCGACGGCACCAGCATGAAGTCGGCGCCGGCCGTCATGAGATGCGCCAGCGGCGTGTTGAACTTGACGACGCCGCGCGCCTTGTCGGGGTACTTGGTCTCGAGCGCCTCGAGCTGCTGCTCCAGGTACTTCTTGCCCGTGCCCAGCACGATCAGCTGCACGTCGCCCGCGAGAATCTCCTCCACCGCCGCCGACAGAATGTCCGACCCCTTCTGCTCCTCCAGCCGCCCGATGAACGCCAGCACCGGCACGTCCGCGCGCACCGGCAGCCCCACCTCCGCCTGCAGCGCCTCCTTGAGCGCCGGCTTGACCTCCAGCACGTTGGACGCGTCGTAGCGCGCGTCGAGGAACTTGTCCTCCGACGGGTCCCACTCCGTGACGTCCATGCCGTTGACGATGCCCTTGATGCCCTTGGCGCGAATCACGTCGTCCAGCTCCACGCCCTTGGCCGGCCCCGACTGCAGCTCCGCCGCGTAGTTGGGCGACACCGTCAGCACCATGTCCGCCTCCGTGAATCCCGCCTTCAGCCAGTTGATCTTCGGCCCCTTCACCGGCGTCGCGTACCTGCGCGCACCAACGCATGTAGCATCGAGCGCTCAGATTGTTCCAGTATTGTGCGAGGAAAGAGAAAATAAAACACAAGATTGTTTCTTTTTCCATTTTCAACAATCTTAAAGTGAGTGTGAGTGGTCCTCACAAACAGTTTTGACAAATCCGGGAACCCAGGCAGCACTATCACGCGCAACGTAACGTACCCGTCAGTGAAGGCGAAGGAGGGGCGGAAGGAGTCGGGGAGGTTGAGGCGGTCGAAGTCGGAGGGCGCGAAGCGGCCCTGGTACGCGATGTTGTGCGTGCAGAAGGCCACCTTGGCCTGCCGGAAGTGCCCCTGCTGCTGCAGCACCTTGAGGTACGCCGGCAGCACGCCCGTGTGCCAGTCGTTGGCGACGAACACCACGTCCTCGCCGTACGTGCCCGAGTAGAAGGGGTTGTTGTTGAGCGCGAGCACCTTGGGCGCCATGAGCGCCGCCTGGTTGAAGAGCGAGAAGCGCAGCACGTTGTCGTCGTAGTCCACGCCCGTCTTGGGCCCGTACACCTTGCTGCCCGTCTTGCCGTACACCTTGGCCAGGAACAACGGGTGGTCCACGAACACGCGATCCACGCCGCGCTTGTAGCAGTGGAAGAACCGCACCTTCTCCACCGCGTCGCCCACCTTCACCTGACCACGTCAGTTAATTCCACACGCCACACGCGACAGCGCAACCACGTGTTAGAAATATCAGATCTTGTTTGGTCGTAATGGTCGCATATTTCCACCTTAATTGGGTTTTCAGATATATTCAAGAAAACGAAATTCAAATCAAATTTTGGGGCGGAAGACTCGGTGGAGCTGGCGGTACTTACATCGATAATGACGTCAGTGTCCCAGGCGTCCTTGTACTGGTCGTAGCGCGGCGACACCGTCATCACGCGGTGGCCCCTGGCGGCGAGAGCGGGGGGCAGGCCGCCCAGCACGTCGCCCAGGCCGCCGGTCTTGCTCCACGGCGCCACCTCCGCCGACACGAACACCAGCTTCATGCCGGGCTCCGTCTGCTCGCACCGCACCACGCCGCGCTGCGCCTCGCTGCTCTGCACCGCAGAGGACTTGGCGCGCAGCTGAGCGGTCTGAGAGGAGGGCTTGGCACCCGCGAATGCGGAGGCCGACTTGAGCCCATCGAAGCGCGCGATGTTGGCTGAGGCGGGGCCGGAGACCACGGGCGAGGCGAGGGACGCCTTGCTCGTGGAGAGGGACGCCTTCATCGCCGAGGTGACGGGAGCGGTCGCCATTATCTGATGTATTGTGGCGCTCGGACTTGATATTGTCTTTCAAGAATCCAGAAACTGAAATTGATCACAAATTCAGCATACAGGTTTGCAATGGCACTCGAGTTTGATGAAGTTATGTTGAAGTGGGAATTTATGGGGAAATGAGAGAGGCCTGGAAATTGCCGAGTCGCGCCAACCTCTGAAATTGCGGGAGGAAATCTCCAGAAGGGGGAATACTCGTGGTGGAAAATCGAGTGAAGGGAGCTTTGAGAATGCAGTTGGAAGGGACTTGTGGTGGGCCATGACTAGCGGGTAATTGTGATTTGCGGAGAGGTGGTTTGGAATCTTGGGTTCGTTTCCAAGGTCTCCGAAGCTTTGAGTGGCTCACAGCTAATGCCGGACCTGCGACGGAGGCTCGATCAACTGAAAGTCGCGTGGTTACGGAAAACAGACGGAGGAAAATACTTGTTCCGAGATCCTGGGAGTTTGTGTTCGCGATTTGTCACGTCGGATGGAGTGCCACGTATGTTAAAAATGTCAATTGAAGCGCACCGACAGATTCCGTGTTTGTAAGGAATTTTCTCGAATTCCTTATCGGGGTTGACTACTGCGCGTACAACCCGAAATTCGTAGTTCGCACGATCGGGCGATTTCCACGCTGCCGAAGCTCCTCGCGTCGCCTTCGGCATTCCCATCGCCAAACCTGCACCCAACCTCGCTCACCCGAGGTTTCCTCCTAGCTAGGCTAGCCCTACATTAGTCTGTGCATTCATTGTATTCTGGATTCATTCAGTCACAGTCTCGTTATTCGTTTACCTGCGCACTCTCTTTTACAACTCATAACACCTGGTATCAGAGCTACTTTCCTAGTTCACCCCGCTTTTCGAGGGTAGTTTGGTGGCATAGGGTGTGGTTGGTTTAGTGACTACACGACGGTTGGCTGCAGAGGTTGTTAATTCAATCCTGCCCGACTCCGATAGTTCGTGTTTTCACTTGCCGGGTGGCCACGGGTACCCAACTGCCCACCAGACGTAGTGCTAGACACATGGATCAGGAGGCTGTTAACCGACTGATGGCGCAAGTGGCAGAAATGGCGAAGGGTATGGAATCGCTGCAAGCGGAAGTGACAACGCTGAAGGAGGAAAACGCCGAGCTACGCCGGACGCGAGGTGAAGCGCGTCAGACGTCGCCTGTGGACGAAGGCGAGGGCAACAGCCAAGTGATGGGCAATCCTCTGGACGAGCTCACACGTGACTTCGAAGAAGAAGATAGGCAGCGAGCGGCAGCAGCACCAGTTGCAGTCACGACGATCAAAATCAAGCCCGTCAACCCGCCCCCGTTCAATCCTACGGATAAAGCGGTTACGGTAAAAGGGTGGCTGTTCGGGGTTGAAGTCTTCTTCACTGCAGCCGGAGTTAATGACGATGCCACGCGCATTAATTACGCAGTCTCACTTCTTCGAGGTGCAGCACTTGAATGGTGGCGCCGGACCTTGGAAACAGGGACGTCGACAGGTGTGACACATGCGGCAGACGGGACCTCTACAGTGGTTAATCAAGTTGCAGAACCGATCTTCGGTGTGACCAAGATACGCACATGGAAGGAGTGGGGCGCAGCCTTACGGGATCGCTTCGAGCACATATCCGCCTCGGAGCAAGCTCGCATGAAGCTGCGTGCATGGTCGCAGATGGGATTTTCAGAATAACTAGGCAAGAATGAATGAAAGGAGAGGAGGTTTCACTAGCAGCAGTTGGGGTACATATAGCAAACCCTAACTGGGTTGTACTCGCTATAGAGCACCCCACTACAGGCTAGACAATAATAACATTCTGACACACCCCCATAGCCAAAGTGGGGTGTAATCAGTACAATGAGCAGGCATAGCAGTAGTTCACAATTATAAGCAAAGCTAGAGGTGATCATAGAGGGCAAGTGAGGAGGAGGAGAAACTGTGAGGGCGAGAAGATGAAAGGCGCCGACTGAAGCTGCAGACACACGGGCAACAGGAGCGGCGCGCACAGTGGCTACCGAGCGCACGAGGGCACCGGACTACGGGAGTATCTGGCTCCGCGGCTACGACGAGCACACACAGGAGCAACGGACCCACAGGCGACTGGCGAAGCAGGCTCGCTGGGCTACCGAAACGCGCGAGGGCATCCGGACTACTGGCGCTGCTGGCGTCACGACGGCTACCTCCACGCAACCTCCCCCGACCGTCCCACGCCCCTCTCACACACCCCCTGCTGACACCCTAGCTCCACTTCCACGACACCCCCCTTAAACCCTAAACCTCGGCTCCCACACATCCACCCCCCTCAGCGGCAGCTGCAGCAGTGGGAGACGGAGGAGGAGGAGGAGCAGGGGACGGCGCACACACACGGCACCCCCATAGCTGCCACCCCCACACTCCTCACCCCCAAACCCTAAAAACGGGCGGAACGGGGGAAGGAGCGCGGGGGACGGCGAGGGGGACGGCGCTCGGCCCCCAGGACGCCACCACGGGGCAGCGAGGGGCCGCGCGCGGCTCCCCAGGGCGGCGCGACGGGAAATCGGGGCCGCGGGGGGTCGCGCGCGGCTCCCCAGGGCGGCACGACGGGAAATCGGGGCCGCGGGGGGTCGCGCGCGGCTCCCCAGGGCGGCACGACGGGAAAACGGGGCCGCGGGGGGTCGCGTGCGGCTCCCCAGGGCGGCACGACGGGAAATCGGGGCCGCGGGGGGTCGCGCGCGGCTCCCCAGGGCGGCGCGACGGGAAATCGGGGGGGGGGGGGGGGGGGGGGGGGGGGGGGGGTGGGGGGGGGCCGCGGGCGACGGGATCGCGGGGCAGCGGGCGTCGGGATCGGAGAGCCGCGGGCGACGGGATCGGGGGGGGGGGGCCGCGGGCGTCCCCCACGGTAGGAAACCGCCGTGCGCCTCGGTGCGCACGGCGGGGAGAAAACCGCCGCACGCCCCGAGCGCGCGGCGGGATGAAAAATCCGTCGCACGCCACGGGGCGTGCGACACAAAGAGTAGTAGGAGCAGCGGAAGCAGGTGGTGGGGCCCACCCACAGGATCGACCCATCTGGATCGTCCTGCTCTGATACCATTTCAGAATAACTAGGCAAGAATGAATGAAAGGAGAGGAGGTTTCACTAGCAGCAGTTGGGGTACATATAGCAAACCCTAACTGGGTTGTACTCGCTATAGAGCACCCCACTACAGGCTAGACAATAATAACATTCTGACAGGGATCTGTCCAAGACTACACGGCGTCATTTATGGGCTTCGCCGACCAAATCGATGACATGTCGGAAGCTGAGCGGTTGGATAAATACGTGAGCGGCCTTAAGTACGAGATACAGTTCGAAGTTCGCCGCAGCCGCCCGACATCGTTCCTCGAAGCAGTACGCGTGGCAGAGTCAACGGATGCGCTGATGCAGTACGCGAGAACGGCTTCCAGGGATGGGAGAGGTTTTCGTGGCCAGACCCATCGGGCCACAATCAACGCCGTCCATACACCCGACCGCCCTCCTAAGGGTCAGTGTTTCCGGTGTGGGAAGGTGGGTCACTGGAAGAACGAATGCAAGGAGAAAATGCCGCTGACAGAGAACGACAGGAAGGAGCAGGGAAATGGGAAGAGTCAGTAATTAGCGGGCCCTTTACTGACTGTGTTTCGTCGCCCGAACACCACCATCCCCACCGAGTCGTGGTTCCGATTCATGCAATCGATCGCACTCGGCCGAATAACGGGGATAATCATGTGGATCACCCTGTGCTGGTCGCTGGCAAGGTGGGGAAACATCATTTGAAAATGTTCGTCGATGGAGGGGCCAGCCATAGCCTCTTCAACTTGGCGAGCGCAAAAAAATGCAACATGCAACTTGACAGGTGTCTGCCCGAAATCGACGCACGACTCGTGGATGGGACGCCTCTGGCGATAACGGAAGAAACACGGATGGTGCGGATCGAGTGCGGCGAAGATTTCGGCTTCAGCATGAAGTTCCTCGCGACGACGCTGGATGGCTGCGACGTGCTGCTGGGACGCGATTGGCTGCGACGACACAACCCCGTCATCGACTGGACAACGGGATCGTGCTGCGTCAGCAAGCACGAGGGGCTAATTAAGTTGCCTGCATGGACACCTGACTACATCCAAGCCCCGTGCGTCAAAGCCATCACCATCGCCCACCACTTCAACAGGGGTGCGCAGCTGTTCGCCGTCCGCTTGCGCGAGTTGGCAGTTGACACCGACGGAAAAGACATCGAGAAGCTGTGTGCAGCTGTACCTCCGGATTTAGCGGAGCTAATTCGACAGTACCCCGACATTTTCCCGGACGATTTGCCACCTGGACTGCCACCCGAGAGACCCGAAGACCACAAAATCCAGCTGGAACCAGACGCGCAACCTACTGTTCGGACACAGTGGCGGTTGACCCAACCGGAACTCGAGGAGCTACGCCGACAAATTGTTGCACTGTTGGAGAAAGGCTTCATTCGGCCGAGCACCTCCCCGTTCGCGGCACCGATCCTGTTCACTCCAAAGAAGGACGGCGGGCTTCGCATGTGCATCGATTATCGCGCGTTGAACCGGGTGACCATCAAATCTCGCTACCCAATCCCACGCACCGACGACCTTCTCGATCAACTTCGCGGCGCTCGCTACTTCTCGAAAATCGACTTACGTGGCGGTTACCACCAGATTCGGGTCTTCGCCGACGACTGTCACAAGACCGCGTTTCGTACACGCTACGGGAGTTACGAATTTACAGTGATGCCTTTCGGCCTCACGAACGCGCCTTCGACATTCCAACTGACCATGAACAGGGTTTTTCGCGATCTTCTAGACCGATGTGTCATCGTCTATTTGGACGATATCCTGATTTTTAGCAAGACACGGGAGCAGCATCTCCGCGACCTGGACGCAGTATTTAAACGGTTGCAGGAGAACCGCCTCATCACCAAGGGCTCTAAGTGCGAGTTTTTTAAGCAGGAGTTGGAGTTTTTAGGGCACGTCATCT